AGAGAGAATGTCCACACCTTTATCTGCATGGTTCTGTCAGGCATCCATGGCTGCTCTGATCCTTCCCCCCGCTTGGTCTCACCCAAGATGGTGGCTCTGGGAGCAGCTGAGCATCTCAAATTAGAAAGCAATGAATTTCTTGCTTCTGCTACAAACTCCCCCAGCTGTAAGCCTTCCAACCTTCTAAATATTCCTTTGTATGTGGTTCAGAGTTCTGGCACCATCCCCTGAGCCTGCGTGGTCCAGTATTCTGTGTTGTTGCTGACGGAGCTCCTCACTGCACTTCCACCTGATCCACCATCTTGTTTGTTCTCCTCCCCTCCAACTATATTTAACTAACCATTTTCCTTGGTCCATTTCTTATTATTCTCAGCATGTTGTTGTTGTTGTTATTATTAAGTGTTGTTGAGTCAGTTCCTACTCATAGTGAACAACAGAAGCAAACACTGCCAACAAGTCTTCTTCAGAACTGCTGCCATTTTGGGGACCAATGTTGCTGTGATCATGTCAGTCTATCTTGTTAGGGGTCTTCCTCCTTTTCTCTCCACTTTGCCAGGCATGATGTCCTTTTCTAAGGACTGGTCCCTCTTGGTAACATGTCCAACGAACTGTGTGTCAAGATCCACACAGTTGAAAACCATTGCATGGTTAATAAAGCACAAAATCCATTTGACATCAGCAGTGGTATCCCTTATTCTATGTCCTCTTCTGAACCTGATTTGATTTCTCTGTCGATATACTGCTGCAGCTGTTTTTGAATTGAGCTTCAGTAAAATTTTAATTTCATGAGATATTAGAGATACTGTTTGGTGATTTAGACATTCCATTGTGTTGCCTCCTTGGAATGGGCACATATTTGGATTTCTTCCAATCAGTTGGCCAGACAGCTGTCTTTCAAATTTCTTGGCATAGTTGAGTGTGTGCCTCCAGTGCTGCATCAGTTTGTTGAAAGATTTCAATTTTTAATTCCATCAATTCCTGGTGCCTTGTTCTTTACCAATTCCATCAATACACCTTGGACTTCTTTCTTCAGGATCATTGGCTCTTGATCATATGCTACCTCTTGAAATGGTTAAACATCAATCATTTCTTTTTGGCAGTGACTCTGTGGATCTTTTGATACTTTCTGCATCATTCAATATTTTGCCCAGAGAATCCTTAAATATTGCAAGTAGAGGTTTGAATTTTTTTTCTTTAATTGTTTCAGCTTAAGAAATGCTGAGCACGTCCTTTCTTTTCAGTTTTCTAATTCCATGTCTTTGCACATATTATCATTATTGTCTTCTTGTTGCCCTTTGAAATTTTCTGTTTAGCTCTTTTACTTTCTCATTTCCTCCATTCATTATGGCTTCTCTACACTGGAGGACATGTTTCAGAGTGTCTTCTGACTTCCATTTTGGTCTTTTCTTTCTTGTCTAGTGCATCAAATCTGTCCTGAGATGGTCTCTAAATTCAGTTGGTGTCTTAGATTACATTCTCTAGAGATGCAGAACAGTGGAACTTGTTTGTGTGTGTATATATATATTCATAGATTCAAAGATCAGCTTGAGAAGATAAAGCCAAATACTATAATAAAATATGCAAAGATTTAGAGTTAGAAAACCAAAAGGGAAGAACACAGTCAGTATTTCTCAAGCTGGGGGAACTGAAGAAAAAATTCAAGCCTCGACTTTCATTATTGAAAGATTCACTGGGCAAAT